GAGACTCCATTATTAGTGGAAAGAAATAGATGTAAATGTCTATTCCCTCAAAATAATACAATCCAGATCTCAAACTAAAAAATCCTTTAAATGAGAAAACTCTCGATTCCCTCAAAATGATAGATCACATTTTGCAGCAAAAGCAATTTAACAATAACATAGCAGCATTTCACAACAGAACTAGAACTTTCTGTATATAAGGATAAGCAATGTCCTGCAAACTAACAAAGTCTTGTAAGAGTAGACATATATTTTCATTCAATATAGAGGAATATTCATGCATGTTCGGTTAGGATGCAATCGACATATTCATGACATTGAATCTCAGCCACAAATCTCCAAGGCTCATGTTCAAAATGATGTAAACTATCCAAAACCGAATAGAGAAACAATTACCAAACAAAAGAAAAATTATCACAATCCACGATTAAGAGGTAATTTCTTACACAATACAATCTAAACATCACAAATTAAAAATCAAGAAACCCAAATAGAAAACAATCTCAAAAGTCTGAACCCACAGCCCAAGTCGAATCATAGGAAAGATATCATCATAAACAAACTCAAATACAAAACATCAACAAAGCAAAATGCCAAGAACGTTACCAAAAGCCAAACTCAAATCAACATCAAAACAAAAACTCCCATCAAATTCCCAAGAGTAGCACTCGTCTCTCCTACGGTACAACACGGCATTTATGATCACCCCATATTACAAATGTCACCAGAGAGGCATTTCCAGATGTTGGAAAAACAATTCACAGTCTGCGCACAGCAACTGCAATACTCAAGGCTGCACAAGAACAAAAATATATAAATGCTACACCATTAAACCACTGACAGTATAATGTAACTGAAACTTGACAGCTGAAAAACCAATAAAGAGCTGGAATAACAAAAAGTCTTGATTTTAGCTTATCCTTCACGTGCTCATCGATCCATTTTAGAAAGAGGGGTTGTGTTTTTTACAAACTATTTAACAAATCCAGTAATCAATTGTTATTTCAGAACACAAGGAGTTGGAATATGCACATTTCATACCTCACGGGAAACATCACAGTTGGCCTTGATAAGTTTGGCACAGTGTCAACCAATTAAATAAACATTCTTGGGGTCACAAAGATCACAGACAGTAAAATAAAAGTAACATACATAACTTTCTTCGAGCAAAAGATATATAATCGCATTATTCACCAACACAAAGTGGAAGAAAGTAGCTAATCCGCTCAAAAATGAATGTTTTCTGTGTACACTTTTGTTTTAAAATAATATTTGTGTGAAATCATTCAAATAATGCTTTAAATTTTACGATATTTAAAATAATATCATAACTTTCCTTTTAAAATGAATTTTCTTCAAAATGATATTATTTTAAAGAAAATTACATAAAAACTTATATCATTTTACAGTCCTTTTCAATGAATTTATAAAACGAAAGTAATTCAATGTATCATCTTAACTATCAAAATGGGAGGTTGAAAATCAGCAATTTCTGACAACACTTATTGACCTAATCAATCAAAATACTGACATAAATTTTTTTTATTACGATAATAATGAACTGAAACCTGTTTGAACTACATTTATAATCACTATATTCCATAATTCATAGTCAAAACATTTTCTAATAATGGTTTGGTTAGGTGAACATAGAAAATGATACAATTAAATTAAAAAAGCATCCATTTGCATACCATTTTCCGCACCCACTTTCAGGAGGTGGCGGTTGTTGTGGAGGCGCTGCAACAAAAATTATTTGCGGCGGCGGCGGCTGGAGGGGAGCACCGATCGGAACACCTGTGCCGTAATAGTTGTTGTGATTCGCATAATACTCAGCCATCTTGCAAGAGAAATAAATGTGAAATTTTTTCTGGATTTGTATTTATCCATTTTCATTTGATGAATCCCTTAAAAGATCGACAGACAAATCGGTAAGAATGGTGGTTTTAGATGTAAGAATGGTGGTTGGAAGAACTAGGACTCCAAGAGCAGGACCCAGAAACCCCAACGAGAACCGAGCCCAACCGAGAACCTAGACAAAAGACAAGACCCCCAAGCCCAAACCAGAAGCTCTTAATTTTTTTTAATGTTCTTTTAAAAATAAATAGTCTACCCCAAAGTAGAAGGCTGCATTTAGTTGTGCATTCCACACTGAAAAACAAACAAAAATGAGTTATTGTCACATAGAAAACCATTACTATACAACTTCATCCAATGTTGGCAGTGATGAACCAGTTAAACGCAAATCAAACCTTTAAAACTTCTTAGTTTAATGACCCAGTTACACTCCATACATCCAATAATATAATGAAATTTCATGCAACGAATCATAACGATACCTTGTTGGCAGTTATAATAGTTCAATAGAATATTAGTTAAATGCAAATCAACAATCAAAGTCCCCACGATTACTAATAAGGGGTAATCACAGAAGACTTATTTTAATTCCAGAGTTTCGGATGACTAGTTAAGATACGAGCAATTGACCCAACCACCCCGGATCCCAAAATAAAGAAAAAAAGTAAGAACTCTTATTTTGCGGTGCCAAGTAGAGTACTCCGATTCTTGTTTTATGCAAAACTGGTTAACAAAGTTTTACAAATACTGGATTATTGTACAAGTACAACGTTACATTTTAATATGGGGTGACATGGGATGGTAAATAATATAATAATGTAAAACTACCTCACACCCATGTCAAATGGTGGGCTGAGTAAATTTTCCTTTTCATGAGGAGAACAAAAAACTCACAGCACATAAAGAAAATTATATCACATATTCATATAAAAACTTTATACCTTGGGCGTCTTCTTTCCCTCGCAAATGAGTTGGACGTATTTGACACTTTATAATGGTCATGTTAGTATGCCGTATTGTACCGTAGTTTTTCATTGCTGGTAATTTTAAAATTATGAGAATAATTAAAACTTAATCCTGCCGTCTACTGGTGTTGTATAGTATTAGGTATTTATACATTGTATGTGCAAAGTTTTAATCAACATGTACAAACTACGAACAATACGGCAGCCCAACAGACCTTATACAATTAATAACCGAGATGTAGTTTGCCCTGCTACAATAATAGGAAAATTTCGTTAACTTGAAATAAAAAGCATAACCAAAGCTCTATTCTCAATAAATAAATAAAACATAATCTTTTTAGATAAAAAATGGTCCAAGATAAACTCAATAAAAAACATATTTTTTTCTGATTTTTTTATTATAAAATACTATTTGATTAAGAGATTCAAGAAGAAAGGTGAAACCCGAAAAAGTTATGGTCATGTTTAGACTGGGGCCTAACTCCGGCCTTATTGAATAAGAGTATCAATCCTTCTTATAAACGAATTTGGCTTAAGAGTGCCTGATCGATATTGGATGGCCAAAACTGGATCCCAAGGTAGAGATACTCAACTGGTTATTTTTTACTTCAATTAACTTGATTCGAGTCAAGGCTATAAAAATATTTTATTTATTATGAGATAAGTATATTTTAGATGATTTAGCTATATTTTGTTTCAGATTCATTTAAAAGTTAAAAAATCTGACTTACTTATTAGAAAAATTGATAATATGAAATATAAATAAATAATAAATAAAAAGTATTTACTTTAGGATGAATGTGGAAAAAAAAAAAAACCCCAGTAAACATAAGTAGATAGCATAACAATTAATGGAATACCTGGATTCGCATTTGGGAGAATGATAAACGATTGATTGATGAACAGACGATCGACCAAATCAAGACTTGATATGAATTTCTAGGCACATTTGGCAAAGGGAATTTAGAGGAAACTTTTACGGGAAAGCGGTTTCTGAAGCCTAAGGTTTAGTTTAGGTGATACGAAAGAACCATATTCAACAGGTAAATGAAGATGCTACAAACCCTAAATAACTCCTCGAAGTGAAATTATTACTATTTATTTGGGCTTTCGCAGTCTGTTTAGGGAATCCAAAAGCAAAAGCCTCGTAAAGGAATCCAATGAATAAAAAACAGAAGGGTTCTGTACTTCTGTATTGTTAATGGCTGAAAGGATAAGGATAGCAGGCAAAGTTAACGGCTACTATGGAGTAATACCAAATATCAAATGAAAACAAAGTTGTACTACGTGTAGGGATAAAATAACTGTAAATTTTGTTTAAATATACTCTCTCTCTCTCTCTCTCTCTCTCTCTCTCTCTATCATAGATATTATATATATATAATTATATATATATTATAATCGATTTAATACAATTTTAATATATATATAACAAATTGTATATTAAAACTTGCAATCTTTATTCATTTTGTAAAAAATAAAAATTAGAAAACTCAAGTTTAACCTTCTAACTTTTATTTTTTAAGTTTGGTCATTTATAATTTTCTTATTTATTCATTCAAATGATCACATTCGAGTGATTGAGGATGACAATTCTATCCGCTGGCCTACCAAGGATTCATATATGGCAATAAAAAAATATAATTTATTAAAAAAAAAATAAGAGAGAGACAAATGAAAATAGAAAACCAACACCATAAGTTTAATTTATTTTTATTTTGATCTGTTTGAGAAGAGAAATAAAGCTGTTTTTAATTTAAATTTTTAGAAAATATAAGAGAAAGAAATGTGTGAAAACAAAATCTCTATATATTCAAAATCTCTTTCCCTCTCACTTAAAAAAAAAAAAAAAAAAATCAGTTATAAAACGGTTTAAATTGCGGAAACACGGCCCAGACCTTTATATCATGATGGGCATGAAGAACCCATACAACGTTCGTCAAGTTTGTCAAATAGTTAGCCATTTACTAAAAGCCCATTTGTTCCCACTTTGTAAATTAGGCCTTGCGCTAAGGAAGCCCATAACATAAAACCCAAGGAAGAGCAAGAAAATAATAATAATAATAATTTAACACAAATTAATTGCCTTAATCTCTACAAAAAAAAAAATCCAATAAATATAGTAGCAAAGTGAATGATTACAAATTGGATATAGTAAAAGAATATGAATACCTATTATATTATCCTATCCTATAGTTTTAATATTAACTATTTAATTTAAAATTCAACCATATTTTATTTTATTTAAAACATTTAACAATTACATTTCACAATAAAAGTTTATAAATTAACAAAAACATCTAAACCACTATCTCTTGTCAACAACCACTGTCGATCGCCAGTCGCCATCAGAACGGCACACGATCGACCGAATCTAGACGTTTCCGACCAAATGCATCATGAATCTAACAGTTTTCGACCAAATAAATAGTAGATCTAGTCGGAAAATGCTAGATCGACGCATGACCGGCCAAATCCAATCAGTCGTGCATTATTCCAACGACTTCCAACCGCCGTACGACGGTGGTGACCAACTATTGACCGTCAGTTGGGTGGATGGAGATGTTTTTGTTAATTTATAAACTTTTATTGTGAGGGAAATTAACAAATGTGAGGAGTTAAAAAATAATCTAAATGTTTTCTCATAATCCTATCATATCTTATTCAGAATAGTTTTCAGAATATTATATTTCAAACAAGGTAACAAACGGGCCTATTGATTTTGTTTTGATTGTAACTGATGTATAATTGACAAAACTGATAATTAGTTATTATCATATAGAACACCATCTCATGCATACCATTTTTCGGACCCACTTGGAGGAGGAGGTGTTGGAGGATCCACCACAGCTGGAGGAGGATTTTGGTGTCTATTGGGGAGGTGGTAGAGCGATCAGAGCTGGTGGCTCTGCATGAGTTCCTGCAAAATCATATTTTAGGTCAAGTATGAAGCAAATTCAATCGAATACATATTTACATGACAATATAGGTTAAACCAAACCTGAAGTAGCGACCCTTGACATAATTCCAAGAGGAAGCAAACTTCAAGCTTGGCAATGACAAATTGGTCTCAACTAAAACCGTGTCCAGTCGTATATTTAAAAACCAATTGATTAACTCACCTCCAACCACCATTCTTACCCCCAACAAACATTCTGACTTCCATTCCAGAAACAACTCCTCCAACCAACATTCTTACCTCCAAAACAACCATTCTTACTCTTCTCTTCTTAGCCTCCGTCGTGGCCAGAACCACCACCAACTCCACCGCCTCCTCTTGCTCCACTACCACCACCAACTCCACCGCCTCCATATAGTCTAATTTTTTTAATCAATCAACCCACCATTCAATCAATTCCAATCAACAGTAAAAAAAAAAACCCAACAACTCTTCAAAATCCGACGATGGGGTCACCGGTGTGCGCGCAGGGGCAATTACCAATTTCACAAAGAAACAAACCCTTGAGAAGAAACAAACCCTAGAGAGGAGGGCAGAGATAGGCAAGTGAGCGGTGTTAGGGCTATTGGGGGTTTCGGGGAGGAGGTGACGATGAGAAGAAAGGTTGTAACGGGGTAGTTTCCGATGAAGGAATCGACGCGCCGGCCACACCTTGCAGATTACACAGCCATTAGAAACACAAATCAAATCGCTTTATATATATGTGAATCAAATCCAGCCACCATCGATCTTTGGAAACACGTATAACAAATCAAAAACAAAGGAAACCAAACACAACCACCACAGTTTGAATCAAATCCAGTCTCCATCAACTTTGTAATAGATTCGAAACGCAAATCTATAGTAATGAACAATAGAAGGTTTGTCTTATCACCCCAGATTTTCAGATGGAAGATGGCGGTTACGAGTGGGTGAGTGAGATATCTGAGTTGATTTAGGGTTACCAAAATTCAAACTCAAAACAAAAACATCCATCAAATTCTAAGACTCCACACCATTAAGAAACCACCACCAACAATAATAAAGAAATCACACCACGTTATTACGGTGTGGGGGCAGTCGCACTAGGCTGTGACATTGGGTGCCAATTTCAAGAATCAACCTCTAAAATGCCCTAATTTCATCAAACGGGCAAAAACCCCAATTTCACAAAGAACCCTTGAGAAGAAAAAACCCTTGCAGATTACACAAACAAACCCAAATTAACCACAACAGCCGTTAGAAACACAAATCAAACAAACGAAATCAAACCAGTCACTATACATAAATATGTTTGAATCAAATCCAGCCACCATCAATCTTTGGAAACGCATATCACAAATCAACATCAAAACAAAAACATCCATCAATTGTAAGACTCCACACCATTAAGAAACCACCACCAACAATAATAAAGAAATCGCACCACCCTATTACGGTGTGGGGGCAGGCGCACTAGGCTGTGACATTGGGTGGGATTCAACGGAATAGAGGTTAGGTGGGACCGGGAATGGGGGATAGAGTGGGATTAGCGCTGTAGGCGTGGTGGTGTTTGGGGTACAGGTTTTTTTTTTTTTTTTTAACTTTTTAATATTCTCATTAAATATTAATTATTTAACCTAGGTTAATTTATATTTATAATAAAAATAGGTTAACAAACTTCTCTCACAAACGCTCATGTATTAGTTGAATTGACAACTCCGACCACACTCAACATAAAATGATTTTAACAAAGCCCAAGAAACGACCGTTCATGAAAGGAACGGCCGTTCCTACTGGAAAAAATGGATCTTCACCTCTAAAAAATGGTCATTCCTTCCCTTATGGAATGGGTATGAAGGATGAAGTAACGGCCATTCCTAGGGACGAATGGTCGTTTTCCTATAAGAGACGGTCATTCTTTACAAATGAACGACTGTTTTTAGGGAGGAATAGTTGTTCCCTCATAAGAAACGATCGTTCTCATGAGGAACAACTGTTCCATATGGAACACCTATTCCATAAGAAGGAACGGCTATTCCATAAGGAATAATTATTCCATTCATAAGGAACAACCATTCCTTATAGGGATAGCCGTTCTTTATTAATGGAACAATCGTTTCTTATGAATTAACGTTTTTTCCTTTCTATTGAACGTTCTTTCTTGTTTAGTCAAAGTCGTTAGTTGACTTGGTAATGTCAACTTGTTACCATGTTGGGTTTATGAGATTCATTTGTCAGCGTAGTATTATTCTTATGTTTATACCTTCCTTTTGTTAAAATTATCGAAAAAGTCTAAACAATGAAGGATCCTGAATTAATATCGATAACATAAAGGTCTAGTATTAGTAAGAGTAAACTACCTTTTTCCACCCAAGGTTTGCCTTAGTGGCAATTTCCTACCCAAAAAGTTTCAAAATACCTCTTTTCCACTCAAAGTTTATATTTCGTTAATATCTAAAATACACTTCACTTTCTCAACCGACATTCTGTGAGTTACCAGGAATTACGGTAAGAGAAGTTTTATAGAGTGAAGGTCAGTGGATCGAATGGTAGTGACCAATTAAATATTTGATGCCGGAATCAGCCAAAAATCTGCTAAAAACTGAAACTTTAGCTTTACGGTGGTTGACAATTGACGGGAAATTATGTGCCAGAGTGAGAGGGGCTTTGTAGAAATGATATCGGAGTTTCTAGTGGTGGTGAGAGAGAGAATTTTTTCCGGCATAATAAGCTTTGGGTAGTAACGAAATATTAACTGTAGGTGGGAAAGTGGTATTTTTAAACTTTTTGGGTGGGAAAGTGTCATTGAGGTAAACCTTGGGTGGGAAGAAGTAGTTTACTCTATTAATAACTATCCCTCTATATGTATGTCATATAGGATTTGTTCACTTTTGGGAAAGTAAATATACAAATACATACATACGTGTATAAATATATACATATACATTTTATACAGACACACTCATCTCTCTTCTATTTTCCATAGCCACCACTCCTCTTTTGCCCCACAGCCCATAGAATTATTTTGTTGATTGGAAGCCGAACCTCTTCTTCTTCTTTTTATTCTTTATCATTTTTCACTAGAAAAATGGGTGCTTCGGTATTTATTGGGATGAAATGAAATAAAATGATGACTTTGTGATAATTTGGTGAGTGTAGTAACTTTAACGAGTTTGAATTATGGTCCCTTTAAATAAAATAAAAATAATTTAATGACTTATTTAATTAATTTAATTTTTTTTAAGGATATTTTTAGACAATTTGATTACTTAAACTTTATTAATGAATTAATTAATTAAACAAAGGCCTTAAAGAATATATTAAGTGAATTGTTTTGGACGGCCATGAGGCTCTCTATAGCTTGATCATTTGTTTAATGGGGTAAATAAATTATGGGAGAAAGATATGTATAATTAATGACGGAATGAGGTTTTTTTACAACAATTGAATGTAGATATCACATTGAGAAATATGGAAGAGATAATAGATACAAATTAGGGTGTGTTTGGTTGGAGTTTTATGGGATTACTAAGATAATGTCATCTTATATTACTTTATTACCATGTTTGATTGTCAAACAATATAAAATTTTGGTAATCTTTTAACACCAATAGTAGTTACTGTTGGTAATATATGAGGTAATATGATTATCTTCATTTTCTTAAATATTTTAAAATTATTTGATAATCTTATTTTTGTTACAATTTTATCACTTATTAATAAAATTTTAGGACAATAATGCTCTTGTTTAAAAAAAAAAAATTACAAAAATATCAATTGACTAATTTATCCTTATATACAAAGTTTTTAGGACATAAATATCCCTGAAATTTAAATAAATTACTCAAGGGTGGTGGCTGGATCTGGCCATCATCGCTAGCCGACGGCAACGAAATGGGGCATGACTGGCCATGTCTGGTCGGTTGTGCACCAAGAAGGCTGTTTCTAGATCCATGGTAAAAAACAGCCAAATATTTGGTCGTCGTTTCACGGCTAGATTTCCACTTTCATCACCTCTGACGGTGGTGGCAGGCCATGGCCAGTTGCTTAGGGTGGGTGGGGGTGTTTTTGTTAAGTTTTAAATTTTTTTGTTGCTAGGGTATTTTAGCTAAATCTGAAATATAAGGAGTTAAAAGAAATTATTCAAAAAATAATAATATATTAATATTTAAAAAGGAGTCAATTTAGTAAATTGCATAACATACACACCAATTTATTTCTTTTAACCAAACACATTTTCCTAAACATTCATAATAATTTTCAAGGTAATTTATCTTTTCATTAATATAACATTCTCTGAACTAAACACATCCTTAATGTTATAAATATATAATTTCCACCTCATTCTTATCCTGACCATTAATTTTGCTTTAATCTAAATGGCAGAAACTTGTGCTTAAAAAGAGGAGTGGCAGAACCCTCCCCATACATAAAATATTAATCTTTTATTAGTTATTATAACTTTAATTCATTATATATAAATTTCATTGCTTTATTTATTGAGATAGGTAACTAATTTAACTTTGTTATACTTTTAGTAGGGTGAGCATGGGTAATGAGTAGAATCAAAACTGGCCTTCATAGAGTCGATTTTAGTTCTAAATAATTGGAACCGATATTATGTGGGTTCGGTTCCAGTTTCTATATATGTAGGAACTGAAATCGAACCGAACCCAGAACCTAGAATAGCAACCAAGGTCGGATACTTAGGTGGAACCTGTCTTGGAACCGAGACCAGTAATGTCATTACAAATGGGAGGTCTATTGTGATTTTGCATATAAAAACAGAGTGAAGATCCAGGTGGCGATTTGATAGAATTTTGTCTTTCTTTCTTTATCTGGTGTCAGGAAGAACTTTTCAAATTTATAAAGTTTTCTCCAAACAAATTAAGATGAAAAAGTGAACCCCCCATTTGTTTAATTTTTTTGAAATACATTTCTATCCTTCTATCATATCCTAAACAGTAAAAAAGGTGTTTATTTTAATATTGACTATTCAATTCAAAATCTAATCTTATTCTATTCAACTCAAAACATTTAACAATTATCATTTATAATAAAAGTTTATAAATTAACAAAAATACTCCCATCCACCCAAGTCATTGTCGGTCTCTAACAACCATCGTCCGCTGCCACTGTTGGCTGCTGCTGCCAGAATGACGCACGATCGATTAGATCTTACAGATAGTACGTCGATCTAGTCGTTTCTGGCCAGATCTACAACTAAAGATCTGGATGTTGACGACAACTATATATGGTCGGAAAAGCCCATATTGGCGCACGATCGGCCAGATTCAATTGGTTGTGCGTCATTTCGGCAACTGTCGAGTACCGTTCGACGGTGATGGTCGGCTACCAATAATCAATTGGGTGGATGAGGGTGTTTTTGTTAATTTATAAACTTTTATTAGGGGAGAGATTGTTTAACTAAATTAACAAATATAGAGGGTTAAAAAATAAGCTAAATACATTCTCAAAATTCTATCCTATTTGATTTAATCTTATCATATTATATTCAAAATAGTTTTTCAAACATCATGGCTCTGTTTGGTTGCCAATTGGGAATACTACTTTTAGTATTCCCAAAAAAGTTAAACAGTAAAATACCCAAAAACTTTGGGCTGTGTTTGTTTCAGTTTTGGGAATACTACTTTTAGTATTCCCAAAAAAGTTAAACAGTAAAATACCCAAAAACTTTGATTTTTGGGAATACTACTCCCAATATTATTCAACTTTTTTTAAACCCCTTAAATTTGATAATTTAATTAATACCCCTAAATATTTTTTTAAAAATTACAAAAACACCCCAGTAATTCATATTTACCAGATTCCGGCCACCATTGCCGGAAAATGGCCGGAATCTGTTAGGATGGCGCACTACCGGCTGAATCTGGCCGGTAGTGCGCCGATCTAGCCTTTTCCGGTCAGATCCACGGTGGATCTGACCGAAAAAGGCTAGATCTAAGGCCAAAGATCTGGCCGTTGACGGCCAGATCTTTGGCTGTAACGGTTTATAACGACGGCCAACAAACGGTCGTCGTTGACCATCAACGATGACCGTTTGTTGGTCGTCGTTGACGAGAAAATACGGCCAGATCTGGCCGTAGATCTGGCT